TTATATGGGGTTGCTTACACATGATGGGTCTCCCTTACCAACTGCAGGCCATGTTGTGGAGTGGCATCATGCATGGAGAATTATGGCCTTGGATTCTTCATTCCATTGTGGAATTTCCGATCCATGCCGGCCCCTGGAAGATCCAATTTCAGATCGATCTGGTTAAATTTATAAACAACTTTGTTTTATTTATTTATTTATAAAAATAATAATAAAAGAAAAAAAAAACACTTAAGAGTGAGTAGAAATATGCCATGCGTGCGTTTCTCATGAGACGACAAATTAACGATATTAATGTCTGCAAAGTAGGGGACCCAACTGGATTGCTTGAGTTTCACCACATCTTGGACATCATAGTATAACAGGGTCTAAATTTGAGGACAAGGCTCGTGGCTCATGTTTTGGAGGTCTATAGTTTGCCCTTAAATGTATCCAGTTAATTACATTCTTAATTAGTTGCACACAATTTCATCATCTTCGTGTAGGACTGTAGCACCATGCAATCACACATTGACATGGTATTAGTCGAGTTTAACGATGCCACATTATGTTACCAATATACTCGTGTTATAATACGCTTATATTTATTAGTACCATCCTAATATATAAACCTCCTGCCGCCATAGGTTTATTGGTAACATTTAAGCAGGTTTAATAGTAAAAACTAAAAAATAAATAATAATTCTTGAATTCTAATAATAATAAAAAAGAAAGAACTGCTGATGACTTGACTCATAAGGAAAGATATTCAGAAATTTTTATTTTCTCACTGAGAATATGCAATCATATGATGTATAATCTAGACTAATAGTTTATTAATTAACATAGGATAAATGTTTGCATCAAACTTATAACCAAGGGGGGACATGTAAAAATAGTCCCAAATAAATGTTCCATAAGTACAATTAGCTTTTCTTTATTGTTTTCTGGGATAAGGTTGTTTAATTAACTAATTTATTAATCCATGATTATTGTAGGGATGGAAAGGATTAGCATGTTATGATAACGTGGGGTAAGAAGCTAAAATATATAATATATAAAAAGTAAAGATAGAGTGAGTACATTACACACAAACTCTCATGGCACATAATTGCTTCTCATGCTCATGCCTAATCATTTTGCTTCCCCCTTCCATCTTCGATCATCATGTCCCATCTCTCACAATCATCTCACCCCCTCCTATTTTTCAACCCTTTTTTCCTCCTTTCTTTTCGCGCGCTTTTGTTTCCTACACTAAAAAAGAAGAAAGAAATTTGCTCATGATGACTTGCCCACATTTTTCTGCAGGCAAAATTAGGATGTGGGAAAAAGATGGGGGAGTTTTGAAGCTAGGTAATTATAGTGAGGCCAAAAGTTGGTGTGCCTGCAGCCAAACCCTACCACATATATATACATGGGAAGTTGGCTAGTAGGTAGAAGGCAAACGAGGAATCACATTGTACAACTTGTTTCCCCCTCTTCCATTAGTTAGGGTGTCAATTCGTATTTATGGATCATGTTTGTGTCAAAAATAATCGATTCAAATATGATCTAATTCAAAGGTAATTCATTTAATTAAGCGTGACAACTAACCCAACATTAGCTCAATTTATTGATATTCTTGTTTTGTTTAGGCTGACCCACGTACATTATGAACATAGGCTTAAAAGTAAGTTTCCTTTATTTCTAAGTTGAACATATCACTTATAAGCCGTAAAAAATAGTCATATACTTGTAGCACATCTCATACAAACACATATTAATAGTTTGTGAGGTAAAATTCCTCTAGACCAAGCTGAGCAAAAACACAAGTGATTGAGCTAAGCTCAAGTCAAGGTGGTTAAGCTGAGCTAGATATCGAGTGGTTGAGCTGGGCTTGAGCCAGATCATCATATAGTTATCCTATCGTAGCTCAGGTGGGTTTGTAGGTCTGTTGGTCCATGAGTTTGGGCCTGGTGTGGGTAAGGCTAACTAGAGAAGCTAAGATGTTTTGAGATCATCAAGACAACTATCTAAAGGAAGTCTTAGTCTGAGGTAGGGATGACAAAAACCCACACCTGGCCCAGTCCACATTGGGACCTCGCCCTTGATGGGGGAAGATTTTGGGGGGAAATTTGGGGCGGGTACGGGAGATCCCTGAATTTTAAAAATCCCCGATTGAGGATGGTATTGTTATCCCCATCTCCAAACTCGAGTTGATAAGTGATATATTTATTTTTACTTAATTATTATAATAATGATATATAATATAATATAACAAGTAAAAAGTTATATGATCATTGAGTTGAATTTTATATTTAGATGACTTTGGTGTAGATAATATGAAGTTAAAAAAAAAAAAAATTAATTAAGATGATTTTGATTAGTTTAGTTGAATTTTATATTTTAATTTCATATAACTAAGTTAAATGATATTTTAAAGTGAAATTTAAGTGTTATAATGTAAGGTAGATATATTTTTTTATAAATTAAAAAAAAAAAAAGGAATTTCTAGGCGGGTTTGGGAGACAACCTCCCAAAGGGGGTGGGGACGGGCATTTCTTGAAATTTCTTATAAGGGATGGGGGTGGGGACGGGGTGAGGATGAGGAGTAGGGATAAGGATGATATTGCCATATCTAGCCTCAAATTGACCCATTTCAATCCCTAGTCCGAGGAAGACTAGGTTCTTTTGAGTTATACTCCTAGAAGGATTAGGTCATCTAGGATGACATAAAAAGGCTAAATAAACCCTTCCTTAAATTGATGCAATTCTAGGCCCTAAAATCTATTGTGCATTTTTTTCTTAAATGCTCAACTAACTTAAGTATCGAAAGGTCTTTGGCCAACACGAAACTGGCGTCACCCTTGTTAGCTCTTATGTTTTGCAAGTTCTGGAGGACGATTTGGTTGGTCCTGCCAACCTAGTTTGGGCGAATTGCCCAACCTCGATCACGAAGAGGCCATCCCGCCGTTGAACAAAATTTAAGCATCAACATTAATAAATGAATAAAACGAATCATTTTCTTCAAATGTAATATCAATTAAATGTGGTAAAGGCCTTGTAGTTCTAGTGATTAAGAACAATTTAGACAGAGATTGATTTCTCTTGCTTCTTCTCGACTCTTATTCTCGAGAAGCCAAATAAAACCATAGCATAGTTGCCCCTTTGGTTTTAGGGGTTTTCCTCTAGAACTACCTCATCTGAAACAATAATTCGGGCCTCTTCCCAAGTTGTATGTGGAGAGTTTTTCTGATGTAGAACAGATGGTAGAAGCAATTGAAGAGGAGTTGGAGTGACGCGCTCGCAAAGGCAAATAAAGTGTGCTACATATTTGGGCTCCGAGCTCAGAATTCGGTCCACGACCCATCAATTCGAAGAGAACATTGTGCATTTACTAGCCTGAAATTCAGTTTTAAAGTTTTTACAATTTTTGGAAACTTTGTTATTTTTCTATTTCAATTCCTTTATTATTCATAGGGTTTCTAGGAGTATTTAAACATACTTTACCCGTGGTTAGGGTTATGTTTTGTTATTCCAGTTTATCAAATAAACATGAGGTTCTCTTATATTTCCTGGTGGATTCCAGAGTTACATGTTTTAGGCTAAAGTTTTAGCCGATCAATTGTCACGCTGCGTCATTTTCCCCTTAGCCTTTTAGTGCTAGGTTTTTGCCTCTTTGCAATCTTGCAAGGTTTTGTCTAATTTTCTAGGATTTATACCAGTCTGTGTGGCTGATTTTATGATCAATCTTCATAGATCTGGTGCCTATTGCCCCTGATATGCTTACTTTTACAATTTTGGGTTTTAGGTTTTAGATATATTTAGATCTGTTTGTAGAGGAGGTGGATTTGCTTGATTTAGGGGTTTTTCTATCAAGTGGTGCTTGCAAATCATGTGGCGATATGGAGAATATCGTTGGCATTTTATGAAATGTTCGGGTGGATATTGAGTGGTAATTGTCATTCACTTGTTGATGTTTTCTTCCCTAATGTATTATAGAGTTCATTGATGGCTTAGTCTGCTTCTGGCACTGGGTGTGAAGGTTTTTGGGTCCTTTTCTTCTTCAACTCCAAGTGAGATAGTTGGCTAGGATGTGCATTTGTTATCCTTATTGGCTTGCAATGGATATTTTTCATTGTCTCGGTCTATATGTTTACAAATGACAAGAACCATCCATGCCGTATGGTGGGCTATATTGTTCATCAATTCTCTGTAATTGCTCTATTTATCAATGAAATACTTCTCTATTTCGTGAAAAATAAAAAGAAAGACAAAAGAACAATTTGACACTAAAATGATATGTTTATTGTTCGTGTTTAGTGAGTTATGCCATAAGGCCCTTAGATGATGCCCTATATCTTGACAGTTGGATCAAACGGCTAACCAATTTGATCTAATGGTTAAGATATATGACCTCATCTAAGGGCCTTAGATAAGGCCCTCACTATAGAATTCTACGTTATGCCATAGTATACTTGTCAAACAATAATCAACCTAACATCAACTACTTTCGTGTTGAGTTCGAGTGGGAGCTTCAACAATAAGGGAGATTTTGGTGAGGGTTCAATTCAACCATTCAATTATTATAAAATTTCAAGTTCAATATTTTCTCTCTCTTATTAGATAGTGGGATTGAACCCCTCCCACCACCCCCTCACCCACAACCCCCTTATTATAGCCTTTCCGAGTTCGAGTCGGATTGTCAAGTCATGTCAAAACTTATCAACCCAAAAGCCACTATACCAAATTTCGTTTTCCCCAGTCAATGACTGGGTTAGCCTTATGCGTTGGTTGAGATTTGGGTTAATGTGTTTTAAGGCCCAGAAAACCAAGCCCAAGGAATATGGTCCAAAAGGAAACTAAGAATTTGGAAAAATTATAGCTCTCCCTCCCATAACACCTGGATTGATTGACAAAGCATTTGAAACAGCCTGTAGTTACGGGAGAGCCCCAGATAAGAAGGGCACGCGTCGCCACGAACTGAGATCTCGTTCAACAGATCCGACGGCCCTCATTGAACGTTGAGAGAGTGGTGGATTTAAAAGGCGAATATGAGGTGGGGTTTGAGGTCTAAATTTTGAACCCTAAGGCGCGCACCGCTGTTTAGATCCGAGTGTTCCTTCGTCGACGCCAAATCAAAGGTCAGATCTCTCTTCTGCATTCATTTTCCGAGAAAATCAAACGCTGTCCTTGCAACCAAACAAAGCGTAACAATCTTTTTAATCTAATGTCGTCATTGCCGATTTCAAGTTTTTCTCTGGACGGTTTTGGATATAGGACAGTTTCATTTTCGTTCGCAATTTTGTCACTTTTGGCCGACCTGTTGTTTTGGATCGCCTGCATTGTTAATCTGTTATCGTGAATTTACGGGAATTTGAATTTGTTGGAATTATTTTGTCGTTTCTTTTGGATTTGTGAGGTGGCTATTGGATTTTGAATAATCCATTGGCATATACAATCTGATTTTGTTTGTTATATATTATTAATTTGTTTCAGAGAGAATTCGGTTCTTGATTAAACATTTAATAATTTCATAATGCAAAGCAACGTAATTTGAGATGGTTTGTATAGCTGTGAAATGAATGAGGCGCACAAATTGCTTAGATTCAAGAATTTTATCTCGATTGACTATTGCCTTTCGCATAAGTCATGTTTTCATGGAAATATCACTCGAATGGATTGCTGTTAGGATGGAATTTTCAGTGTGGTTTTTGTTTTCCTGTCATATTATTGTATGGGCTTCGTCCAACAAGAATTGTGAATTATTCCGGTAATAATGATTAAGAAAATTTGTATTTTTTTGCTATAAGTGATGAAACTAAGAATCTGTTAAGGTACATTCACCACCATTGGTGTGCAAACTAGTTGATCATTTCAGTTATTGTATTATTATGTGTGTTAAATTAAATGAATTGGTGTAAAACTTAATATTTGTGTATGTTTATGAAATTCATGGTTTTTTTATTTTTTATTTTATTTTAACCTCTCTAGTGTTTTTATTTATCCAGTGTTCATATTTTGTCCCATTATATTTCAGTTGATACGTCTCTACAGCTGGTATTAGAAAAATGGCCGACGCTGAGGATATTCAACCACTTGTGTGTGACAATGGGACAGGAATGGTTAAGGTATGGCATCAGGACACTTTTATCTCCAAATATTGCTGACTAAATTTGATTCTGTTGACTTTTTCTATAATGTTTGTCTGGCAAAGATGTGTATGATCTGCAGTTTCAGTCTTAAAATATAATGGTTATGTTGCAATGTGAACTTGTAGGCTGGGTTTGCTGGAGATGATGCTCCAAGGGCTGTCTTTCCTAGCATTGTTGGCCGCCCACGTCACACAGGTGTGATGGTTGGCATGGGTCAAAAGGATGCATATGTTGGGGATGAGGCTCAGTCTAAGCGTGGTATATTGACTTTGAAATACCCGATTGAACATGGTATTGTGAGCAACTGGGATGATATGGAGAAGATTTGGCATCATACTTTCTACAATGAACTACGTGTGGCTCCAGAAGAACATCCAGTTCTACTCACTGAAGCACCTCTGAACCCAAAGGCTAATCGTGAGAAAATGACCCAAATTATGTTTGAGACATTCAACACTCCTGCCATGTATGTAGCCATCCAGGCTGTTCTTTCCCTCTACGCCAGTGGTCGTACAACTGGTGAGCAATTTGAATAATTTGGAATGTTATGGGTTGAATTTATTTGGAGTCAGTTGATTCTCTGTGGTGAATGACTTAAATGGACTGATCAAGTCATGCAATGTGTTTAAGATGCTGTTAGTTAGCATTTCAAAGAGCTTGGTTTGCAAATTGATTTGTGATCAGTATTGAAGTGTTCCTAAGATAAAGCATGTGCCACTGTGTTAAGCATTGAATAAAACAGTGAAGTGGTTTTTATAAGTTTATAAGGGAGGATAGTTTTGTGCTTCCAAGTTTAAACCAATAGGGTTGAAGGAATTTCTGTTTTCAGTATAGTTTAGGTGAAATTTATTCTTACTGCAGCAAGGGATTGCCTTCTATAACCTCTTTTTAAAAAAAAAAAATTTATATCGCAGGTGTTAGTTAACTAAAATGATTTCTGTATGTTCATACCAACAGCAATGCCAGCCCACCCCCACCCCCCACTAGGGTGTACAATGTTTCTTTGGCTTCCATCTCAATTATTTGTTTGTAATTTTTCTCCCTCGAACGTCCATGCAGGTATTGTTCTGGACTCTGGAGATGGTGTCAGTCACACTGTCCCCATTTATGAGGGATATGCTCTCCCGCATGCTATCCTTCGTCTTGACTTAGCAGGTCGTGACCTCACCGATGCCCTTATGAAAATTTTGACGGAGCGTGGTTATTCCTTCACCACCACAGCTGAGCGTGAAATTGTCAGGGATATGAAGGAGAAGCTTGCATATATTGCCCTTGATTATGAGCAGGAGCTTGAAACGTCAAAGACTAGTTCTTCTGTTGAGAAAAGCTATGAATTGCCTGATGGGCAGGTGATCACCATTGGTGCCGAGCGTTTCCGCTGCCCAGAAGTACTTTTCCAGCCGTCTATGATTGGAATGGAATCTGCTGGCATTCACGAGACCACATACAACTCTATCATGAAGTGTGATGTCGATATTAGGAAAGATTTGTATGGAAACATTGTTCTTAGTGGTGGGTCTACCATGTTCCCTGGCATTGCTGACAGAATGAGCAAAGAAATCACAGCTTTAGCACCTAGCAGCATGAAAATCAAGGTTGTTGCTCCACCTGAGAGGAAGTACAGTGTCTGGATTGGTGGATCCATCCTTGCATCTCTTAGCACTTTCCAGCAGGTATGTTATCTTAGTATATGTGACACCAATAATGATTCTGAGAGCACTGAGCGAACCATATTTTTGTTAACCCACCCTTATTAACAAATCATAGTTTTCTGTTTCTCTGCTTTACTTTTCTCCATAGGGGAATAGCTAAGTCTTTATAATTATTATATTAGTAATGCTAATGGAGCGCTATTGTTTACTTTTGGAACACAGATGTGGATCGCAAAGGCAGAGTATGACGAATCTGGCCCATCAATTGTACACAGGAAGTGCTTCTAAGGCCCTGGCATGGGAGTGTGTGATGTCTAGTATTTTACGGCACAACAATTGCAGCTCGCAAGTTTTTACTCTACCTTTGCTTCTCTCAAAACTTCTGTGTCCAGTGTTGTTGAAACAATGAACTACGAGATGTGGAGGTTATGGCAGAGAGTTGAACTGTTTAGTTGTTATTTTTTGTATTAAGCGTTAAACAAGTATTCGTTCAATGCTAAAGCCTCTGCCATTTATAAATTTTTTGGTCCTCCCACCTCGCTGATTCAAAATCAAATATGCTGCCATTTAAATTCTTGAGGGCCTCTCTGATGATTTAATAAGTTAATGTTTCTCCTTCATTTTATATATTTGTAGTGGCTCTGTTATTGCCCAGATGAATTGAAGTTTAGTTTAGTAAGTTCATACAATTAAGTTTTAAGAAGTTTCCGTTTCAATGAGTTTTTTTTTCCGAGGACTCATTTGATAGAGGAATTTCTTCTGGAATCGTCCGAATCTAAAATTTTCTTTTCCTGGTCTCTTCAGTTCCTGTTTGCTTGCTTACCAAACAATTGGTTGAGACCAAATCTGAAGCTGAATCTCAATGCTTCTTATTTTGAGCTATAGTCTGTTAGTATCTAGACTTGACCTTGGCCATTGATTGTCCCCGAAGAGTTTGCTCATCTCCTTAAGACTTGACTTGAAAGCTTTAGGCAAAAGTTGATTTCGTGGGTGGTTGTTGGTCGCTGCCTGTTATTGGGTTGTTGGATAGTTATAGTGGTTAGTTGGAAGTGACTTCACTGTTGATGATCAAACCAAAGCTGCAAATAGAACATATCACGTGTTCCTCTCAATAATCATTTTAAGAGAGCGTTCATTGCGCCCACGTTTATCCAACAATGGCATTTATCATGCCCTCGTTCGTCAAATTAAGTAAATATTATGTGATACTGAAACACGGTCACGTGATATAACTAATTATCTTGTTATAATATAAGCATCAATACTATATAATAATTTTTCCGTAAATTCCTAACTACTAAGTAGCCGTTATTCACGCTGGAATGATACCCACACAAGCTGCCCCACTAGTTTTACTTTGGTGACTTGAGACATCTTCTTTGTTGGTGTGGTGCGGTCAGTGTTGGTGACTTTGAGGCGATAGCCGTTAAATTTAAATATTAGATAGGTAAGGATTTCATGTACGGCTATTAGTTAGGTTAAGCTTAAAGTCTTATTGATAAGAAATGAAACGAAACGAAACGTATATTTTGACAATTGCTTTGCATCTAAAGGCTCCAATGACTCAAATGCCTGCAAAATTAGGGAAATGGTCAGGTAATTGTCCCCTTCCCTGCCCTATTCCATGAAAAGACAGCAAGGATTAATAACTATTAAAAGAAAAGAAATTTGTTCATTAATTAGTTCTTTGCTTTGTTTTTTGTTTGTTTTTTGTCTTTGTTATAGACCAACCTTTGAATACTAAATTCTTTAATTGACTAACCAATAACAGCGCATGCTCAATTGAACGCAGCAACTTGCATCTTCATGCGTGTGACAATTGCACTGCCATCCACATCTTTCGCTTTTCAGATTGCAAATCATAAACCAGAAACAAAAATGAAGAATGATGATGAGAAACCTATTTTGTTTTTTGTTTGTTTTTTCTGAACTCCATCACATATATCATTTCTTGGAAATTATATAACAAAAACAGAAAGATGGAAGATAATGTAAAGTCCAATTTCCTTTTCAAAATTCTTTATTATCAGAAAAATTTCAGGAAAAAACTGAAAAAAAAAAACAATTGGGTTATGAAATATTTTCCTTATAAAATAATAATTCATTGATCTTATTGGGCAACTATAGCTATTTCTTGTTTTGTATATTATTATCAAGTTTAATGAATTTTTTTTAAAATGAAAATACCAATAAAAGAATCCAAAGATGCCCACATGACCATGAAGATACTCTCTAATTTTTATTTTAAAAAATAAAATAAAGTCTTGACCAGAAAACAGAGGGAAAAAATAATGTCTTTCTTCCTCCACCGTCAACATTTCCTCTGTCACAATCAAGTCAGCACAAAAGGTCAAGCCTCCTTCGGAAACAAAGAAGAAAGAGCTCCAACAAATCCAAACCTATTCCACCAAATAACAGTAATATCAAATGCCAATTACCTCTCAACACAAACCCACAAAGCTTAAAGCCTGACTCCACCATCACCGGAGCTGCTTGAGCTTGACCCTTCCATGGAGCTGATACAGCCTTCACATCCATTGCACGGCTCAGCTGGTGAATCCCTTTCTGGGTTCTCGTCTCCGGTGAGTTTCCGACGTGGGTTTGACCGGCCGCCCACTACCTCTCATTTGGCTGAGATTTTTGAAGAAGAAGATAGTGGCGGCGGCGTTGATAAGGTACATGTGGCAGTTGGCAAGTCTGTTGAGAAAGCTGTGAGCTTGCTTCATTGGACTTTCAAGCACTTTGGCTGTAAAGAAATTTGTATACTTCATGTTCATCAGCCTTCTCAGCTCATTCCTACTCTCTGTAAGTCTCTCTCTCTCTCTCTCTCTCCCTCTCTCCCTCTCTCTGTTTCTGTAAAGGGCTCTGAATTATTCTTTTTTTTGGTGGGAAGGCTCTAAATTTCTTTGATTTCTATTAAGTTCTTATTGAAATTCTTTAATTATATATTTTCTGAGGAATATGCACACATTGGTCTTTAGGTTTTTCTTTGAATTAAGAAAGTGTTTGAAAACATTTTAAAATGTGGAAAAAAAATTGACCCTTTAACCACGTGTTGTGGAAATTGTCAATTATTTTCTGTTTGTTGCTCTATTTGGCATCCGAGAAATAAGAGGGTTCTTAAGACAATGAACAATCGAGGAAAAATCAATTCAGTTATGCTGTGTTACCGGGTCCACTTTTCGGTTCTTATTTCCCAGGAGTTTGCTAAGCAATCTGAGACCTTCTCTGTTCTACTTTGATTTGTTTGAAATTGTGTTTCATTAATGATTACATTGTGCAGTAGGAAAGCTACCAGCAAGTCAAGCAAATGCCGAAGTGGTGTCTGCTTTCAGAAGGGAGGAAGGGGAACGGAAAATGAAGCTTTTGCAAAATTATTTGAGGGTTTGCTCTAGAGCAAAGGTGTGCTTGGTTTCTTTATGTTTCGCATTTAGTATCATTACAATTATAAATTTGAGCAGTTTGTATGCTGCAAAATTTTGGTAAACATAGTTGCTCGCAATTATGATGTTCTTTATTTTCGGAAGAATCCTTGATTTATTCCATTACTTTATTTCTCCCAATACATTTTGAGTCGGGGCTGAGAACATTATGCGATAGGTAGTTGAGTATTAGTGTTAAAATTTTGTCAAATGCTATGCGGCAAAATCTGACATTCCTTTAAATGACAATTGCATCATTACTGATTAGAAATTTATACATCTCTTGTAAAATTCAATTATTCTAAAGAAGTATATTAGTATCACTGTAAGCATTTACTTTACAGGTTAAAGCAAGCATTGCCATGGTTGAAGCTAATGAAATTCAGAAAGGAATTGTAGACTTGGTCAACAGACATGGGGTTAGGAAGCTTGTTATGGGGGCTGTACCAGAAAAGTAAGTGGTGCACAAATCATTTGGGTAATTTTCCACTGGAAGTTGAATGGTTTACTTTCAAAAGTTAACATAATTGTAAAAGAGCACAATGGATTGAAATCTGTGGTTGTGTTAAATTGCTAATCACTTAGACAACAAAATTTTCTTATCCAGCTTATTCATACTGCAATAAAAAAATATAAAAAAAATCCTGAAGAGCTTCCTCAAACATTGTTAAAGTGTATTTGAGAACTGATTATGCTATGTTCCACTGGTCATCCCTCCTCCCTCGGGGTAGGCAAATGAGGCGGCCGCCTAGGGCCTCCAGATTTTCACCTTTGGCCAGGGCCCTGACTTCAGTCCAACCGTGCATGTATCATCCAAGTGGTTTAAGTTTTATTGTATTAACTTTGAATTTATTATGTGTTGTTTTTTCTTGTCTTAGAAAGTATAGATATCAGCAACTTTTGTCTTGTGGGCCTATTTAAGAACTCACCTTGTGCCCCAAAATCTTCAGGGTGGGGCTCCTTCAGGGTCCATGGATATACTCCTCCAGTAAGTAGGAGTTGAACCCACCCCAGTTGTCTAAGTAAATTTACCAAGTGATAAACAAAACAAAAAAGTACGTGTGAACTTCTGTTTTCTGAAAATTCGCCTTTATCAGATAATGCAATGAAAAGTACATGTTGCTAGTATTCTTCTTGTTCTTCGTGAAACTTAAATGTTATATTTTTGGACATATATTATTCGTTATGTATTTCTTTTAAATTTTAGTATAGTTGCAAAGCATGTCTTCCTAATATTTTAATACAGTTGCATGAAGGTGAAAAAGAACTCCAGCAAAGCAAATTATGCTGCCAAATATGCTGCCTTGTTTTGTGAAATATGGTTTATCAACAAAGGGAAACATGTCTGGACGAGAGATGCTTCAGAAGGCCAAAGTTCTCCGCCTTCATGTAGGCAACTGCAGATTGCCAAAGTTCTCCCTCAAGAAAATAAGGAATTTCACCAAGAATCAGCTGCATCACCAACTTTATCTTGTTCTACAAATACGTCCTTACCCTACAATATTCATAATTCAATTAGTTCAAGTACAAGCTCTGGTTCAGGATATAATTCTGCCGAGGGAATGATGTCTTCAGATTCTGATATAAATGTTGAGGAACAGAGTTTATATGATAGGCTTGCAGAAGCTACATTAGAAGCTGAGGCATCAAAGGACAAGGCATTTGCAGAGCTATTGAAGCGCAAAAATTTAGAATCAGAAGCTATGAAAGCTATCTACAAGGTAACTATGAGTTGGTGTTCCTATTTCAGTTTTAGGACTTACATTTTCAGTATTATGGCTCCTAGGAGTTAGGGTATGACATGATAAATTTTAGTTCAAGTTTATGACTATGAATGCTATCTAGGGGTATACAAGATCCAATCCAATCCGCCCAAACCGATCAATCCAATCCAATCCAATTTCAATCGGTTTCGATGATTTGGCGGATTGGATTGGATCCGTAATTTTCAAAACCGACATGATTGGATCAGATGACGGATTTGCTTTTGAGAATCCAATCAAATCCAATCCAATCTAGTTAGTTTTATGCTTATTTTGGTCTTGCAGGTATTTGTAGTTGAAAATGTTATGAATATTTTAAGTCATTTAATGGAGTTATGTTAATATGTTATATAATCAAAACAATTTTCTCTCGTGATTCATTTATATTTTACATTTACGTCTATTAATATGTTTGATTAGATTAAACCTAACGATAAATGTTTAATATTTCATTTTTGTATTTTTCCATTATCAAAATTGATCATCCAATGCGGATTGACTAAATTGTATTGGTTTGAAACCGACGTACACCCCATTGCTATCACTAAAAGTAATTTTTTGTTATGTGACAAAGGGAACTTGTCAATACTTTCAAATTTCAATTTCCTTCTACAGGAAAAAAGGTTCTTTCACCTAAAATATAACAAATGCAAATATATCTTTCTAAACATGGCTGTTATTGTGAATCCTTTTAGGCAGGTGCAGTAGATGGCCATCTTTAGAAGAAGTTAAAGTAAATTCTACTTATACCTTCATTTTCTGTTTGGCTTCCAACATTTATGTCTTCTTGATCCTAATATAAAACTTGGCTGCTGGAAAGACACCAGAAAATTAGTAACCTCAAAAATTCTGGTTAAGGAAGTTCTTGGAGAAGTATATTTGGGGACTTTGTATTTGTGGGTCATAACAACAGATCTGATCATCTTCACAGCTAGGTTATGAATTTAAATGAAATAATTGATTCCTGAATCTTGTGAATTACTACTGAACTCCAAATTGTTTTGCTCCATTTTATTCAGGTCAAGCAATTTGAGTTAGCCCATGCCCGTGAAGTTAAACTTAGAACAGAGGCTGAGGATGCCCTGAGAACTACGATGGGGGAACAACAAAAACTCTTGCAAGAGAAAGAAGAAGTTAGTAGAGAGATAAGGAGGACCATGACAAATATTGCCCTTCTAGACAGTCGAGCACAGGAAGCAAATCGTAGGTTTAATGAAGCTTCTGGGGAAGTGAAACTAATTCAGACTTCAATTGCAACTCTTCAGCAAGAAAAACAGAGTATTCAACGACAGAAGATGGAAGCCCTACGCTGGCTTGAGCGGTGGAGAAATCATCGACAGGCTGGAGCTGCAAACTGCAATGGGCTCATTGGGTCTGCCGAAGAACTGCCGAAGTTGTCAGAATTCTCATTGTCAGATCTACAAACTGCAACATGCAATTTTTCTGAGAGCTTCAAAATTGGGCAGGGAGGATATGGTTGTGTTTTTAAGGGGGAAATGATGGGCAGAACTGTCGCTATAAGGAAGTTGCATCCACATAACATGCAAGGACAAGCAGAGTTTCAACAAGAGGTTCTCTCCCTCTCCCTCTCTCTCATAATTTATGTCAAACTGATGGAGTGGTTAATATCTATGGTACTTCAAACGATGTTCACATATTTGCCTTTCTTTGATTCTGTACCCCTCATCTAATATTGTAGATCTGCAATAATATTTATTTTGTGCTTGCAGGTACAAGTACTTGGAAAATTACAGCATCCTCATCTTGTGACCTTGCTTGGTGTGTGTCCAGAAGCCTGGTCGCTTGTGTATGAGCACTTATCCAATGGGAGCCTCCAAGACCATCTTTTCAGGAAAAGCAACGTTTCATCAGTGCCATGGAAGACTCGAACACGGATAATTGCTGAAATATCTAGTGCCCTTTGCTTCTTGCACTCTTCTAAACCTGAAAAGATTGTCCATGGTGATTTGAAGCCCCAAAACATACTACTAGATTCAGAACTTAGCTGCAAGATTTGTGATTTTGGGATTTGCAGGCTGGTAACTGAAGACAATCTTTATTGTCGAAGTTTCCGCCGGGGTACTGAGCCAAAGGGTGCTTTTCCTTACACAGATCCAGAGCTTCAGAGAATTGGAGTCCTGACTCCCAAGTCTGATATTTATTCCTTTGGGCTAATCATTCTCCAGTTAGTCACCAGAAGGCCTCCAGTTGGCTTAGCAAGTGAGGTGCGCAAGGCAGTTTTATGTGGAAACTTGGCTTCAATTCTGGATTCCACAGCTGGAGAATGGCCTATAACTGTGGCAAGGCGATTGGTAGACCTTGGGCTGCAATGCTGTGAATTGAATAGTAACGAAAGACCAGAGATTACACCAGCTTTAGTGAGGGAATTGCATCAGTTGCATGCCCCTGAAGAGCGACCAGTGCCATCTTTTTTCTTGTGCCCGATCCTTCAGGTGAGCAATACTCGCGTATATAACTTAGTTGAGGAATAGCACTATTATAATGACCAGTTCTGAAGTGCCGAATTTTTTAAATCAGCTGATCAACCACTAGGTTACCCTAAAACTCATAATCCTAAAGTTGGGATCAGACATTGACCAAAAAAAGAGTTGGGATCAGACTCTCTAAGCTCAGTTGCTAAATGTTCTAAATTCTAATAACCCCTTGGGTTCATTTGGTTTTTCTCTTCAATTCAAGAAGAGTTCGACCGGGGTTTTGCATTTGTGAGAGCTCATGAATTGCAAAATATGCACCATAAAAGCTCCAAGCTTTTAACTTGAACATAAGAGGCAACGTGGTAAACAGGGTTCAAACTTAAATTTGCTGTCCAGTTTGTAGTTCGACTTTCATGGCTAATGGCTTACGCACATTATTGGTTGGTTTCAGGAAATAATGCACGACCCTCAGGTGGCAGCTGATGGCTTCACTTACGAAGGTGAAGCTTTGCGTGGATGGTTGCAAAATTGTCGTGAAACGTCTCCGATGACCAATTTGAAATTGAGTCACTTGCATCTCACTCCCAACCATGCCCTACGGCATGCTATTCAAGATTGGCTTTGCAAGTCTTGAAATCAAAATAATTTCATTCATGTATGTATGTATGTATGTATGTATTTACGTCGCCTTGTCATTCTCACGTGTAGGTGCTTCTTGTAACCATTGTATATCATCAAATGATAGGAAAGTTGGTTGGCATCCGAAGCATCGAGTAAAATGGCATCTTGTACAAAAGCTACCAAAATATGAAAGCCTTATTAAAGTTAAATGGAGAGAATCATTATACATCAACCATGGTTTAAGTTTAAATTAACCAAAATTGAGGAAAATCAAGATAGAAGATTTAGTCTTGGCTATTGCCTAATTTTCAAACTACACATTATATAATATAGGAACATTTAAATTTCAACCAAGTAGCTGATTCCACATTCAGTGGAAGAAATTTGCAGACAGTTTTCTTTTCTTCTTTTTATATTAGAGCATTACTTGCAGCAATCAATGAAGCAGCACTTTGATTGTTAATTTCATTGAAAGGGTGTTCGTCTTCAGCAGAATTTTCAACTCTGGTCCCATCTCTCTTACCACCCAAAAGTGGATTAGACTCCCCCATGCAGTTCCATCTATCTAACTCTTCCTTGTTTGGAATCATGTTTTCTTTAAAACTTGTTTGAGTTTCAGGTTTCTGACCCACCTCACCATCTCCAAAGCTACCACAAGAACTTGAATTCTCTGCTCCCTTGCCAGCCTCAATGATCACAACATTTTCATTGCTCTGCTTTGATTCTTCAACTTTCTTAGTAAAATCATCCGCGGTGGGGGATGGAAACTGATTTTCTTGCTTTTCATGGTTGCTGAAGTGAGATTGAGAATTAGACCTTCCATATGTTTCAAAGGATGATTCTCTTAAAATGCCTTGTGCTGGAGAATCAGATGATCTTTGGCAGAAGCTTCCAAACCCTTGAATCCCTCTTGTTAGCTTCCGAGCTCGGTCTCTCTCTTCTTTGAGAAGAGGACCTTTCTCTAGCAGCTTCACTATTCTCCCTGACTTCTTCCTAAGAGCAAGGCCCCAATTGAATCTGCATGTAAATATTTAGATCTGTTAGATCCATATTCATTGAGAAAAGAAAACACATAGCACCAAAAGAAACATTTGCGGGAAGAACTATATCAGAATTACAAACCCTTTTTCATCCATGTACTGGAAGCTTCCCATCTGCTCAATTACATTTTTGTCAACTTCAAACTCAACTGCAACACTCTCTGGTCCATGAGTCAACAAGTGCTCTACTACAATCAGAGAATTGTAAGAGACCCTCCAGTTCTTCCTTTCAAACTTCAGTAATCTGATGCACAATTTATAACAACATAGAAACATCATCATGTAATCACCAAATTTCTGTAATAAATAGAAGAAAAGAAAGCAAAAACACCCAGAAACCTTTTGTGCAAAATCTCCACAATTCTTGTATAATCATCAAGCTCAAAAGCAGCCTTTGAAATTGAACCCAAGGTCCTAGTGTCTGGTGCCCATGGATTTCCATTTGTAGCTTCTTCAGTCAATCTTAAGACATTAATCAAGCACCACCCAGAAAGTTCATCACATCAGAATCCAAAGCCAGAAACAAGTTCCGTGACCAAAACCAGACCAACAAACCAAATCCCATAAATCAAAACTCAACAAATGAAAACAGAGAAATGCTAATTTCTAAGTATTCTTACAGCTGTGCTGGTGTAACATCTGTGAGGACTAATCTTGCAGTCTTAATCTTCTCCTTAAAGAAGAAAGAAGCTTGTTTCTTGAACTCATGAAATGAGGGTGCACCATTGCTGCTACTGTTGTTGCTCAGGATAGACATGTCTTAGATGAGCACAATGAGAGAGAAAAAGAGAACAATAAATTTTTCTAGACCAGTTTGGTATTATTCGACCAAGCTAGACTTGCATATGTAATCAAAGGGAAGAATGAGACACAAATGTCAATAGTTTAAGTTAATTTCAAGAGTGCTACAGGATAGCAGAAAGTTTCAAAGTACAAAAAAGTAAATACATTTGAGTGATATTGGAACCAACGTGAGGGTCACATATGTCAGATGGTTTGTACCGACATTTCCAGTTTGAAAGCAAAGTTGTGCAAATATATGTATATATTAGTCGTTGTTGGAGTTTTGAATTGTATAAAAGGTATCGAGGTTGTGAAGTCAACATCTCTGCTCTCTCTCTCTCTCTCTCTACTACACTACTGGATAGCAGAGGGTGTTTTGGTTTGAATTTGTAGTGAAGTGAGGCCCGCAATGAGTTTTGAATTTTGAATTATATATATGTTTTTGAGTTTGTTTGTAGTCTTGAGAAATAGGTTCTTGGAATCGTGGACCTATTCCTTCAAAATGAATCATTTTAAGTTACTGTGTACACCCCTTATTTTCATTTGAGTGTTTAGAAATGGTGGGAATGTTTTCATTTGTTTGGTTCGTGAACAAATAAGAATCAAAGTTTGCTTTAGTTACTTGCAGGAAGGGACGCATGTAACATTCATTATACGACAATTGAAAAGCACTCCAGTCTTCGGACAAAAAAGGAGAAAAAAAAAACTCTTTGGGCTCTCCTACCCTAGTCGAGTAAAGTTACATATAGACAATCACAAGCATCGAGCAAACTCGATTAATTTTGCATATATTTACTTAAATACAATAAGTGTTGGAATGATTTCGATTCCTGATTTTCTACGCGTTTATTAACACATGAATATTTAAATTATTCTGATTTTTATTTCCCTTACGGTTACTAATACATACAAAATGAAAAAAGTAGGTGGATTAAAGGAAGTCGTTCATTCCACTGAAAACACAAAACCCCCTACTAGGACATCCGGGTTTGCAAAAACTTGTGCTTTATTGTGCCATCCATCCAAACATGGGAAAAACCATTTCATTGGGAAAAAAGAATTTCCTTTTCCTAGCCCCTTGTTCCATGAAACAAATATAGGTAGAAAGTTGTACTTCTGCTCATCTTTTCATTTGCTATTTGTTTGGTAAGGGAGGGATGATCATTGTTATAAATGGTTCCTTTTGTCCTTCGTACATATTTTATTATTCTGCTAAAAGTTTTTCTTCCATCCCAGAATCTTCTTGTTGCAGTCTTTTGTTTTTGGCCTGCAAATCTTTGTTGCTGCTGCTAGTCTGCATTCATACCATATAAAATACATATAATTTTGTATTGTGTTGATTAAGTTATGATTTTATCGAAAATGATTTTTCTCAAAAGCTCTAATCAGAGTCAGGTATGTATTTAGGAAATTATTTTGGGCCTAGAATGTGCGATCTCAAGTGTGATGGACAGCTACCAAAAAGCTTCACAAACAGTAAAGAAAGCCCATGTTCTTTGATTAGGCTGATTCAAGTTTTTAGTTTCTCATTGGGAAATTGGAAGCTCAGCTCACTACAAATTTGGGCAAGTCTTAAAAACCTCACACACACTATACAGATATTAGGATTCGAAAACCTTGCCTGAGTGAGTAATTACTTCAAACCATTATACTAATGGGTCTTTTGCAAAAACCTCCTTTTAATTTTCGATACTGGAACCAAACATCATTTATTGCAAAAATCCAAAACCTTTCCTCTTGTTCTGGAGGGTCAAAGAAAAACTTTCAATTGGCAGCACAAAAATTCTGTACATTTTCCCTTTCAAAGAAGGAACTGTTGGGATAGGCTGAAATGGCTTAGCTGTAGTAGGATGTAACTGAAAATTGAAATCAAAAGCTTTGCAGTTTGCAATTTGATGACAACAATATGCCAGACAGGTTTACATCATTCATGAGTTTTATTCATCTAACCTTCCCCCACCTGCATTTGCATTAACTATGAATTCAGAAGTAGATAACAGTTAGGAGAAATTATGATTTATAATTAAAGCTCCAAAGCCAAGGTCCTGCTCTGCATGGGGCTCTCATTCTGCTGCGTGGCATGACCAAAAGACATGTGTATGTGAGAATTTAGAGTCAAAACTGACGCAGCACAAGCAACAAAGGTTTCAAGCGAAAACCTTGAGTAACAAGGAATCTGGATTCCACCAGAAATTAAGAGTAATTCTCTTGGGATAAGTTTGTTAAAATCTGAGATGATGAAAAACGTTCACCAAATCTGTCTAAATACACATCTCTCAACCCTTGAGCTGCTAGGTGAGTTATTACATTAAAACTGAAAAACAGAATTTATTCTGAAAATTAACCACGAAACTTTGAATGCATTTTTGGAAGGCCAAACGACCTCAGGATGCCAAAATCCATCATACATCACCGCAAAGCCGTGAGTTTGACTTGTGGCGTCGTTCCCATTCCGAAATTGTATTTTGCGTCCTAATCAAAGCTCGGACGACAAATCTGCAAATTCCCGCTACGTCCCTTTTCTAGCTCAACTGCGATAAAATCTACCATTTGTTCTACATCAAAAACTCAAAAGGGTTTCTTCTATCTTGGGTTTTTTTTATAGTTGGATTTCATTGTTTTAAAGAAATGGGTTGGATTTTTAGGACATGGTCAACTGAAGAAGGCTTGACTGTTTCCAATCTGCTGCTGACTTTGCACTAATTAGATAGGAAATCAGTGGGAAACTCTCCACCAGCTAGACTTAATCTGTGATTTACAGAAGTCAACTTTAGGTTCCTCGTGAATTTTAAAATAAGAAAAGATGAAGTTTCCTCCAAGCTGAAGCACAAGATTGAATGGTTAGGTGTACCACAGAGCTCACGAAGAACATATGCCCCATAGAATGAGTGCAACACAAATAAAGAGGTTCACTTTTTGTGGAACCAAGATATCCTTAAAAAAAAAAATACAAGCGATAGTCTAAGGAGGGATCCCAGGTTTTTGGGCACTTGCGGAGTTCTCACACACTCGCAGAGAGCAAGTCAAGGTCCTTTTTTACTGGGCTAGACCACGTTGGCCGTGGAACCAAGATATCTAGTTATGCTGAAAAGGGAACACAAATACCAAAACCTAGTATTTTCTTATTTGGCATATAATTAACATTTGGATAGCCAACTATCCAATTGCTTGCAAAAAGTAGAAGATGCAGATGCTGAGATACGACTAGTGTTGCCAATCCAATAAAGTTTTTTATACAAGAATTACACGAAAGAAAGTGATGGGTAGAGATAGTGCCAAACAAAACCCTTTTTTGAAAGGAATGTCTTTTATTAGAAAATTACAATTTTTTTTTCTATGACAGTTTATAATCAACTAGAACCAGCTTTTACATCTTTACAGTCCTCACCACCCAGAAAACTGGACAACCAAGTTCCTCAGCCACTTCCTGAAGCTTAATTGGTATTTTACAAAGGTGATTAAGGATATAAACAAAAACAAAAACGAAGATGAGGAAAATGCCTGACTTTTTTCCGGGCTGTCTCTATAATTTTTTTATAAATATTTATCTGTGATTTTCTCTACTTATATACACATGATCTCCATATTCTTCCTTCTAATGAAATAACGATGATAGAAACATCATCATGGTACCGCCTTCGATCCCCTTGTGGTATTTGGAGCAAGTCATGGAAGTCCATACCTGAGAATCACGAAAACCAAGTTCACTGTGTTAGTGTCCTGCAATGGATAAAACTTTTCTATTGTAAGAACAATTTCTTCTCAATTGTTCACTACATCTTACCGGCCTTTTTCGCAGCCCGGAAAAGCACTTCCTCAACCAGATGCTGTGCCGGATCACCTTCGGGTTGCAATGTGATGAAAAGTTCAACTTCAGATACAGCTTCTTTGTTGGTGAAGTATTGGTACAACCCATCGGAGGATAGTACCAAAAACCTGTCTTTTGGGCCTAATCTGTGGTGGTGGAGAGATGGAAAACAAGTGATGTACGGCGAAGTCCCTACATAGTCTATTTGAAACGCCTCTAGAAGTGCATTGTTCCATTTAGGCTGCACACAGAGAGAAATGACAGAAAGAAATAAGCAAACTTTTTTTTGATGGCACACTGTAAATTTAAACGTAGTGATCTTTCAAATTACAGAAAATAGATGTGTGTATATGTATATAAGTAACAGTCTGCAGTATGTTCCGCCCTCCATCTGTTGCATCTAGCAGCTCAAATCTTTCTCTAATTTTCTCTAGCAGTGATTATTTTAAGTGCTTCCCAATGCTTTCGTGAAGTAAGAAAAGCAGGTCTATATTGTTCCAGGTACACATTAATATCATCATCATATTCATTCAGGTCAGATCCTTTCCTGGATTAAGCATACTACATGTTAACAAGATGGGACTTGAAGTGAAGGAGTAAGTTATCGTTGCAATTGGACGTTACGAATCACAGTGGCTGTAATGCCTTAATGCTATATTTTACTGATACACAGCCATAATTACAGGAGATGTAATGGATTTCTAAATCAAACAAGGCCAAAAAGAACGTTGAAGAACAGCAACAAGTGTAAAATGTTTAAGTACCTGTTTGAGAAAACCGGCGCCAAAAGCCCGCGTGACTTTCAATGAACCCTTGACACGGTCATTCATCACAGCACAAGGATCCTCCGGATGTTCATTTCTGATCCTATGAACTTCCTGGAAAATGCAGCATACAAAATGATGAGGCAAAGCTCACAAACTAACAACCAAAAACAACACAAAAAGGAATCATATCCCACCTCTTCTACACTGGTGCTGTGATCCATGGTAAGCTGAACAGCAGTCAAATTGGGAATTGTATTGGCTCTCTCGCCATCAGAGGCATCAAGATCATTTAAAGTTTCCTCATTAATCCTCTCCAAATCCTGCCTAATCTTCCCTAGCCAATAATCGGGTTCCGCCTTTTGAGCCAAAACCACCCGACTATCGCCCACATTCATCACATAAACATCCTCACCCTTCATCAACATCACAAGAACACAAGAACCCATCAGAGCCAATTCAGGATTTTCCAAAAGCATCTTATCAGCAACTTCCAAATAGGCCTCCTCTGTTTTTCTCAAAGCTTGAGACAGAGCCTTCAAAACATCAGAGTGGTTAATAGTAGCTCCTCCTGCAGATGACCCATCAGAGCCAACAAACTTGCTGAGCTGTTCCTTCAACCTCCTATCAAGCTCCACTCTCTCTTTTTCCCATTCACACCTCCACCTCCTCTGATTATCCTCCCATTTCCTTGCGGTGCTCCGGTACTTGGTTTTCGAATTCCTCCCTTCCGTTCTCCTGGAATTGGAATCTAAATTCCCATCCCCACTTGCAGAAGGATGATTCTCTTGCTCAACACACTGAGCACAATCATCCACCATTGGATTCCTTCCCAAATCACCATCACTCTCCATATTCAAAACCGAATTCGAATCTTCATAGTGAACAGGGGAGGTTGCAGGGGCGGCCACCGCACCCGATTCAGCCCTCTCATCCCACAACAACCCTTTCAACTCCTTGTTCACAGCTGAGTACAAGTTGGATAACAAGTAATCCGGCGCATCTGGGCCGTTGAATCCGTCGTAAATCCCGACGAAAACCCATCCATCCTCCTCCGAAACAACGACGTGTACCCGATCCTCCCCTGCTTTCCCCTGAGCCCATTGAAGATTCTGGCTCGCCAACGACTCGTCGTCTTCCAAACTACCCTCGCTGCTGAAATTCACACTGCTCACAGTCAAGTTCTCATTGTGATGATGAAACTTCTCTTGTCCACCAACAACCCAATCCTCCTTCACCGATACGACCCGGCTTTTTATCGGCAAAACAATCGAGTTTTGACCCCGATATATCGTCTTCGATATCGCCCTCTGCAAAACCCGAATCAACTTCCGCTTCCCGGATCTCGGTTTAAACCCGAGACCGCCAATTGAGAAGCTCCTCTGGAACTGTTCGGAGTAACCCTTTTCCATTGGACCCGAGAAGATCCCACGGTCGAGCGGACCCGACATGAACCCGCGCTCAATCGGACCCGACAAGAACCCTCTCTCGAGCGGACCCGACCCAGGAACTCCAGCTCCCAGATTACCTGAAATCGGACCCGAATTGATCAGATTTCTTGGGATGGGTTGCAGAGGAATCGAAGCGAAGGAGGTCGAGCTCTCGAAAGCCGCCGCTCGATCGATGCTGTTGTATGAGTAGAGATCGACTAGAGATGTGGAGAGAGGGGTGGAGGTGTTGGCGCTGACCGAGGCGCCGGAGATGGTTCTGAAGGTGGTTGCTTCTTCAGAGTGGACTTTGGACGAGGCGAGCCAAGTGGGGTCGGGTCGGACGTAGCAGAAGGAGTGCCCGAGTCCCTCGTCGTATGAGTCCGAAGCTACAACCGCCACGTCGTGCCTCCTGTGACAACGTCGTTCTTCGCCGCCGGTGAAGCACCCGCTCACTTTCCCAAAGCCGTTCCCCATAATAAATTGATCGAATTCGAACCCAAACAAATAAATAAAATTCAATTGAATATGTCAAGCTTTTGATTTCACTCTCATGGCCGATTGAGAGAGATAGAGAGACAGAGAGAGCACGCCAGAGAGAGAAATGAAGCTGAGAAGAAGAAGAGGGAGAGGCGTTGACTTTCAGGCAGAAGCTTTTTGAAATGGGAGATAAAAATAAAGACTTTTCATTTTCCATTTTTAATTATTGAAAATGTTTTTTTTGTGCTTTTTATTTATTTCGGGCGTTGACTAAGGTTGGGGGGTTTAATAAGTAAACTCGTGGGTTTAATTTCGAGATTACTTTTCCCTTCGCCATCATTACCTTCTTTGCGGAGCGTGGAATGCACGGGAAGGGAAGAGACGTGGTTCATTTGTAATGGAGGTTCGGTCACGCGCCGGTGAGAAGCGTTGACATGACGTGGTGAAATTCCTTTGTAGCATCGGAATGTCAAAGAGCAAAAGCCAATAAATAGGCCTGGAAAAGCGTGCCGCGAGCACCGTTGGATCGGCGGCGAGGGGGATTGATGAGATGCAAGGGATGAGGGACACGTGGCACGGGAAGATTGCGTGTGCGATGTGCTTTGTCAACTCGCAGGTGGGCTTTGAGTGCTTGACCTTGAATTGAAATGGAATTTTGATTTTGAGATTTTGGTTTCATTTGGAAAGTAATTTAGTTATTAAATTTGGTGAGGTGGGGTGGTTGCAGATTACTAATTATGCTAAGCATTTACTAAGGTACTGTTAGAATTTTATAAGGGGCTTGACTAATGTGGACTTGTCTTTTTGTTGACTTTAGGTTGTTGTTGACTATTAAATATTCAATGAAGGACAGAGGAGGTTAGATGGTGATCATAAAAACCAGACTTCATGTACAAACGCAATCAATTATTTTACTTGGTTCACCTTGAATGCAAGTTGTAATTAAGTATCACAATTTGAGTTTGTAAAGGTTGAAATAGACTTTAAGAAGTCGTTGGAGCACAGGGGGTTGGAGGATTTCAATCACCTAGTTAGTGCTGAGGAGCATGTAGGTCGATATTCATGAATTTATACATAAGTGTACGCCGAATATGTCCATATCTCACTAAATTAATCACTCGAATTGTCAACGAGTATAAACTTTATTAAAAGTCTCGACATTATTTTGGGTGGTCTAATCTCTTATATACCAATTAATTACTATTTACAAAGTTGTTGGGTGATTTCAACATGAATTTAATCTAAGTTACATTTTCCAATAATCTCCACTTTGGAAATTTTTGATCTCATGATCCAAACACTTGCTCCACCTTCAGATCAAAGGTACTAGCTCTCCACCTTGTTCGTTTGAACCCAAACTTGCACGAATTTGTTTTTTGGCCTTCAAGCCCAAAATGTGTTTTATTAAAAAGATGCCATCTGCACATATAAGATACTTGATCTTTCTCGCTACAATGATTTGGGGTTGAACACCACTTAGGGTTACCACAATGACTCATTTCATAACTCATGCTGGATTCTAACATAGCTCAAATTTGAGCCGCTGCTCTGAATAATGAGGGCATTGCAGGTAAAGAACAATGGATTTTGGAATGCGTCATCCATTCATATTGGAGTTTCATTTTCCTTTCCCATAGGAAACCAATGCAAACATTGATTATATTTTTTTATGACCAATTTGCCCCTATCAACAACTGCAAATATCAAGTTTCTAAAGTGAAAAGTAAGAATTTATAACATCCAAATTTCAACTATATGAAACTTTTAAATTTTAAATTTCTTCGTCTATGAATTCAAAAAAGAGATTCGGTATATGTCAATTTAAAAATTCATATTTTTGTCTAAATTCTAAGTTTATTTTCTCCGCCTAAACGTAGAGTAAAAGCAATTAATCATGAAACTTAATGTGAAAATTAGAAAATATGACATTGTATTTTCTACCATAACTAAACTTATCACGACTTAAATCTCCTAAGTTCAAAGATGTTTCAAAATCTTTTCTTTTATTTCTTCATTTTTGGGGTGGCAGTTGATCTATTTTTTTTATTTATTTATAAAAAGGCCAGAGAATTTTATTAGATCAATAGAAATAAAATGGCAGACATGGGTAAAACTTTCCTAGTAACCTAAGTTAGCCAAAAACCTGAGAATGAATATCATAGACAACTTTTTGGTGAAAAGTACAGTTCCATTAAGAAACAATGTTGAAATACAAGAAGATTACATGAAGAACACAACTAGAGGAGGTTCTTGCATACAAGAATCGGAAAAGTAAAGCAATGCAAGACAAGTAAACTACATAATCAAGAACTCAGCTCCCAAAGTTAAAGATGGGGAGGATGCATAAGACTCAAAGCCAGTATTGAATAAACCGTGGTAGAGAAACATACTCCATGTGCTAGGGGCAAGAAAAACACGAAGGGGTTATAAAACCCAACAAAAAGTTAGGAGGGAAAACTCTACACAACATAACAAGGGGAGAGGGACCTGGTTTATTTGCCAAAAGGGTGGTTACATGGGAAAAACCACTGGAACCAAAGAGATTTCTAGATTGTGGTTGTGGATTGGGGTGTGTTTTTGAATCCCATAGACATATTTTTTGTCACATCCTGGGATCGGCTTTGCCGTAGTACGATATTATCCGTTTTGGGCCCCCCTCTCTGCCCTCACGGTTTTGATTCTGAGAGCTCACGAGCAACTTCCCAGTAGGTCACCCATCCTGGGATTGCTCTAGCCCCAACTCGCCTAACTTCGGAGTTCTTATAACTCCAAAGCCAGTGAGCTCCCAAAAGGCCTCGTGCTAGATGGAAGCGGGCCTGTACATATAAAGCACATCACCCCCTCTCCGTTGGTCGATGTGGGATGTTACATTTTTTTCCAATTTAAAAACAGTAACATCTTAAATAAAACATTTATTTCGATCATGCTCGTCATATCACCAAAGTCACATTAACTCTCGATTTTTCAAATCATGGAAATATTGGCGAAGACAAAAACCCTAATGGGGGGAAAGTGAGAAGAAGAAAAATGTGATAAGCTCATTTTGCCATCATTTCCCCCTATCTCATATTATCCCAAAATACTTATCCAAAGAAAAAGCCTAGGGCTTGTTCTAAGCTCTTTTCAACATCATATGGAAGTGTGGTAACAAAACATATTGCCACGTGGCAAATCATAAGACAAAGGTAACAGGTTTTCTAGGTTACATGATTTGCATTATTCGACACTTGAAAAATAAAGGGTGGATTGGGAATATGCCATTATCGAACATAAACAAATACTATAATTAAGAGGCTAATGAATGTCAGCCTAGGTTGTTATTGTTATTCATTAAACAAATAGAAATCTGAATTTGCCACTTTCTTACATCTAATCCCATTCAAGATTTCAAATCAACCATCATTCCAATATTGCAAGTGGAAGAAACCTTCCTAAGCCGCCACCACCACCACCACTTTTTTCTCTTTTATCAGCCCCCGAGTTTTTTTTTTTTTTTTTTTAAATCATAAACTAATCCTACCTAACATATAATCAAATGGGCCTTAATTTATGTGTGCATTTTGCATATTAAACTAAACCACAAACTTAATTATTTGCATGTTGCAATTTTTTGGGAGTTTCTGTTTTACCTACTTGTGTAGATATGCTCTGAAAGGCTCAAGGTTTTGAGAAAATAATTCATACTCTAACTTATTTCATCCAATGATTTAAAATATGAGTTACTTATTATTTTGTTAATTTAAACTCCATTCATATGTTGGGAAATGTTAGTTTTAGTAGACTTGTTATTGTGTGAATAAGTGAATTTTCATCCAATTAACAAACTATTAGTTTACTTACTATTTTGTTAATTAAGACTCCATTCATATATGCTAACGGGGTATAGTCCAATATAAAAGAGCCTTGACTTGCAAATCAATTAAAAAAACAACTCCGTTTATATATTGTAAAAGATTTCACAATCTTGGACTCAATCTTCAAATGCTACATAAATCAAATAAAATTTCATGTAATGAAGCTACCTAAAGTTGAATAGCTTCATATATATTTGAATGATGACTTGCATGCATATCCAAATTCTTTTCTTTTTTAGGGCGCACAATTAGTGTGCCTTTTTAAAACAACTCTAGAAGAAATTAAGAAAAGAAAGATAATCATGGTGATGCATTGACTCATCAACTTGAAGATAAAAAAATTATCATGCTTTGGGTCCTTTAAATCATTTTATGGATTATTATATTGCCATATAATATATGGTAAAAGAAGATACATCTAATGGTTTCACCTTTTTTTTATGATTTGGTTTTGTTCAGTTTGATGGGCTTTTACTTCTTTACCTTTGGAACCTTTTTGTAATGTCTGCTGCCACCATATGTTTGTTGACTAATGAACTCCTAAATCCTAATGCTATCCACATCAGCTAAACCTTTGTTTAAGTAATTAAGGAGAGGCGATTAATGTGAATGATTATAGAATGTTATGGTAGTACGATTATGTGGTACATCTTATACACGTGTTATAATATGAGTAAATATTTATTGATATAATTTACTAAAATGGGAAAAATAAATCATGTTATCTATCCATATTATAACACGTGTATAAAATATACCACGTAACCATCCTACCGTAGTATTATATAATTTCGCCAATAATGCGCATGTCATCTTTGGCAATCAATCTGTTGTTTTTTTTTTCCTTTACCCTATTATTAAAATAAATTACAAACTATTTGGCTTTGTTTGAAGCCAATAAAATACAGTTTATATGGCTTGATCATGAAGCCTTTCAACTGAGAATAAATTATAAACACAACACAAAGGTTACCTAATTTCAGAAATGAAAAGGGAGCCTTTAAAAAAAAAAGGTGAAAAGAACAATTATGGTTCATGAATGTTGTTTGAAAGTTTCTATCATGTAGAGCGCAAACTGGGAAAAGTAAAAGGCAGCACACCAGTCAATCAAATGATCATTAAATTAATGACAGAGGGTTAACACAACTCTTGTTATTTCTGACTTTTGTTTACAAGTTCTCCATTTTCCAAATGCACATAGACAAAAACTTGAACCTTCAAAATTCATCCTGAGATTATAAATTCAACCTGCAAAGAGAATGTTCATTCTTTTTTTTTTACTTTTTTTTTTTTTGTTTGTTGCAAAGTCAAGAAAACTTGATTGGCAAGGAAAGATTGAAATTTCTCAGAGTCTTCCAAAAGATA